TTTTTTTTTTTTTTTTTTTTTTTCTCTCTAATACAATTGTTCTAAGAAAAGAGCTTAAGGGACAAAGTTACCCTGTTCCTTTAACCCTCGGACGTAAATGGGTTGGGAGTGGTTACCAAGCGAGCGTCGGATCAAGGTTATAGAAAAGGGACGGAGAAAGGGGATGATATATGAAAGGGCTACCTTTTCTGTCGGAAACGCAGTAGCGGGTCTAGGGGAGCTTCCTCTTCCCCCACCCCCGGCTTATTTTGGTTACAAAAAGAAAAAATCACAGAACGAAGAAAAACCAGTAGGCCAAGCAAAACAAAACCGCACCCCTCCCCACCCCCCGTCTTCCCTTAGCTCAAGGTTTGGATCGCCACTGATAATAATGGAGTGCAAAAGGATAACGTCTACGCTGGCCCTTGTTGCAAATTCAAGGTTGTGATTAACAAAATAATTCAAAAAAGGAACCCCGGCTTTGCAAAACTGCTACCTCTATTGGTCAGAGGAACTATGTCACGACTTGCGCATCCTGGAAAGTTTGCCCTAAGTTTTTCAAGTCCGTCGTTTGTAATACGTGTTAATCGTCTCTATCCTTAACCATCCCTGTCCCTTTATAGTTTATTATTGTCTTTGGTGTTTTTCTGTCTCAGCTAACTGCTATTATTATGTCGCCTTCAATTTGAAAGTAATTTTGTACATAGCCACAATAACTCCTTGACTGAGTTTCTAAGGTGGCTGTAAACAGCTTCTAGCACTTTCCAAGACGTAGATTTTGATGGGTCATTCTTATCACTCTTAATCTGTTGATGCCACAATCATGGTACGGAAAACTGCCTTTACATAGCTAAAGACGTTACTATCATTTTTGTGACACCAAATGTTACCATACAAACAGTATGGCCTGCTAAAAACACCCTTTAATTTTAATTTCAAATCCTGCACGGTGAAACCTTTTTTTCATAAGTGAATTTTGAAAATCAGGATAAGACGCAGCTATTGGCAAAATTTAAAAGAAATCTGTAGGTGGGGTTCAGAGCCACCTTAAATTTTCCAAAATTTAATGTGGTTCTGTTATGTCACGAAAATGATAACAACGTGTTCACCATTGATTGGACAGCTTTTTGATACCATGATTGTACCATCAGCTAATAAAGAGTGATAAAAATGACCCTTCAGAAAGTGCTGGAAATTGTCTTAATTAAGTTAATTACCATTCCTAACCAGAAAAAATAAGACATAACTATTTGCAACCCTTTCACAATCATACGGGCGGCCCTGAGGAGAACTAAGAGAGTTAGTGTAAAGAACTGGCTGCTCTATTATATTAACATATGACTGTTATTTTCGTGACTAAATTTTTCAGACCGTCGTGTCAACCAGCCGCACCACCTACAAGTGCCGAGTATTCGAGATGCCTAAATTCAATGAAGTACGCCACATCGTAAAGGTGTGTTTAATATAATACCAGGTGTAAGAGAATGCTTAGGTTAGCAACAAGCAAGTATTCGACAACAACGAACAAAGTTCAACCAAGAATGTTGTTTCCTGCTCTGGAGTAACGATACTATAATTTCCTTAAAAGTAGAACCGAACTTCATCAGCCGCAATTTTAACATGTAAATGTGAATGTTTATTAGAAACGGGTAGAGAAACATGTTTCGAGGAATTCCTCGGCTTTTCATGAACATTGCTAGCTCACGTGAGATTCAATGAATTCCAGAAAAACAAAAGTTCTTGCGACGGAAAGAAACACGTTCAAACGTCGCACAAACGAGGCAATTGAGATCCCGGGTTACAAAAGTCTTCTTTGAACAGAGAGAACGGCTTCCAATTAATCAAAAATCTATGACATCATTCTACCCCCGCTAGAGACCCTAATGAACGTGATATAACTCTTCTTAGCATTCACACCTTTTTGGATGATGAAATTCGGTTGATAAGAACTTAATATTCTACTTTTAAACCAGTTTTTTTAGCTCTGAACAAAGAAAATTAGTTTATATTTTAATAAGGACCAAAGTTATTAGTGACCTTATATAGAAGATTTTTGTCGTGCTAAGCAATCTATACTTGTTAAACAACACTTTTAAGTCAATGGTATACCATGCTGGTGGGCAACGTCTATCCAGCTGTATTCTAATTGGCTGTGTTTTCTATATAACGTGTTATCAATGATTTTATAAAGTTCATGGTAGGTATTTTATTTTAGTTACATGCTCATGACAATGAGTGACACACTCGATAAAAATTTTTATAAACGAGCTTAAAATCAAAATGTGGCAAGAACAAGAAGTGGCACACGAGCCATTAGACTTACGTCCTTACCACATTTTGACGTCCTCTGTAATCTAGAACCGAATATACCGCATCAGCATTGAATATACCTGTTTTATATAATATTGAAACCAAAAAATTAAAAGTAAGAACCAAATAAAATGCCAGAATAATTCGACTTAATAATATTTCTGCCTCCGTTTCCAAATCAGGTCGAACCTGTCATCCAGGCAGGTCACGAGGGAATGGTTCATCACATGTTGTTGTACGAGTGTCGAGATGATTTCAAAAGAGACCAATCGGAAAAGCTGATAGCCCAAAGGTGCTTATACTGGAGATGCATTACGATAATCCTGAAAACAAACCAGGTAATCTATTTAAAAAAATTGTATTGAATTCTTTAATAGCGTTCTGATGAAAATGAGATGTGTATCAATGTTGATTTTATGAAAACAGATAGAGCCTTTTAAGATCTCTTTCAAATAGCCTTACAGCGATCAAATCTACTTGACAAAGCATAACACACAGTGCTGTTGTTGTTTAGGGATAACAGACAGTTCAGGCCTGAGGTTCTACCACACCAAACAATTAAGGAAGTATGATGCTGGGGTGATGACGGTAGGAGCAATGGTCGTAGATTTCATGATAATTCCACCAAGACAGAAAAGTTGGGAAACCACGGGTGTCTGCTCAAAGGAATGTACACAAGAGGTAAAAATATATAAAAAAATAAATTATAATATTTGAGAGGAAGCCACATCAGCTTTAGCTGGTTTTCAGCTGGGTCCTCTATCCTGGTGGAATTGAAATTTGGAGATGTTGGTTTTTGTGGAGGGAAGAAAACCGGAGAACCGGATGAAAAAACTCAGAGCAAAGCAAGAACCAATAACAAACGCAACCCACATATTGCACTGGGCGGGAATCGAATCCGGGCCACATTGATGGGAGGCGACTCTCACCACTGTGCCATCCCCACCCCTCTACCTGTTTAAAATGTGATCAATATTGGTAGTATTAGGTTTGGAGGTGTGTAACCTTTACGTTACAGACTGCCAAGTGCGAGTCTGATTACAGACATAATATACATGCAAAAATTTCAGCAAGTTGATGGGCCGAGAGCACGTCAATTAATCCCAAATAGTGCAGAAAGTTGACATTGATAGCAAAAAGTTAAAGTGAGTGCAGAGAGTTGAAATTAAATTGCATTTATGTTATTAACAAGTAATCAAGCGATTTTTCTCCTGGAATTTGGATTAATTAAGTACTCGTAAATTTTTTTAAAGGCTGCAAATTAAACTTGTTCTACTGGCTTGCTTTTTTGTTTTGTTTTGTTTTTGTTTTGTTTTGTTTTTTTTTTTTGTTTCGGTCTTTGAAAATTTTACTTGGGCTTATTATTCCAAGTTGCACTCGAAATCATTTGATTACCTGTACAAATAGACCTCTTCCAGTTCTGACGCCAACAGTAAATACAAGGGCTATGAAACGCCATAACCAACTGGTTTCAGCTACAATTTTAATAGGGTTAGGAAAAGTAAATTACAAGCGTCCCCCTTCCTTGGCCTGAATAGTTTTTTGTTGTTGTTGTTGTTGGTTTGTTTGTTACTTTATGGCAGGAAATATCACTCAAAACAATGCTTTCTTAGACCTGCTTATCTTCTTCTGTTAGCTTCAAAATATTTGGATTGATGTTATGTGTTCACTGCGCCTTTCAATAACACGGGAAACCAGAAGCTTAAAACCTAGCTGTAAATTTCGATTCCCTTAATCATGGTTTGTTTCCCTTTTTCTTTTCTCTGAACTGAAGGGATTTAAAGACTCCACGCTTCCTACAGGAGGAATAAATATCTTTGCTACCTTGTTGCACACTCATCTAGCAGGTAGATGTCATATTTCAATAGAAAAGTGCTTTTGATAACTGTTAGTATTGTATGGCACTATTTTACTGGACGTATAGTTTAGCTAATAATTAATAACAATCGAATGGTATAAAGATTTCGCTCGGGGCATGTTAAAATACAAGCAATTGTGTCCATAAGGATTTTCTTTTCAAACAGGATCCAAAAGTTGTTTTAATTACACTTAAAACGAAAATAATTTTTTTCGGGCTAACCTTTGTTGTGCTTTGCAACCTTCTCAAATTCCATATCCTAGAGGGTCTTGGTACCTATCTACCCACCTACATACCTACCTACCTACCTACCTACCTACCTGCTGGTCTGGCTGCCTGTCTACCTACCTACTAAGGCCCGCGCGCCTACTTAACTACCTGCCGGCCTGCCTACCTTCAGTGTACCTACTTACCTAACGATCTACTTACCTACCTGCCACACTGTACCTACCTAGCTGCCTACCCTGACTGTCTTTGTACTGATTCTACTTTCTTAACCTTCTAACCACACTTTTTTTTTTTCCCAAGGCCGCAGAACCTGGCTTCGTCACCTGAGAAATGGTAGAGAGCTGCCTGATATAGTCAGAGATGAGCATTACGATTTTAATTTTCAGGTGAGTATTTAACCATTTTCTGTTTTCAGGTTCTAATTTTTTTGTTGTTGTTGTTTTAACCCTCGGACGTACAAGCTAACTCATACCTCCACCATGGTACAAGAAGGGAGAAGTGGATGGAACCTCCCTCCCCTCTTAGTTTTTGTTCTGTTAAGGCAGAGCGAAATAAATTTACATTGATTAGATAGCCCTGAGCTTGCCCTACAAGACGGTACTATTTCTGTTGCTTATGACATCAAATGACGTCATTGAACCCTCCATCTTGGATTTTTCTATTTTCTTAAAAGTCAAGAAATAACGGAAATTAACACAAAATCAAGCTACAATGCTTATAAAATGTACGAATTCACGAGTTTCCTCAATTTGACTAAGAAAACTGGAAAACCTACAGAAATATCTCAAAAAGTGATTTTTGGCTAGACCTACATAAAATTTGATGGTTGCCATGGTAACGTCAAATATGATGGACACGCAAATGACATATCAAAGTTTCCGCAGATAATGAAGGAACACCTACTGAAAGTTTCAGCCCGTTAGAGTAAATCGTCTTTTCAAAATTTTGAAAAAACCTTCTGGGTATGGAGGTGGCATCTACCCCCCTTTGACGTCCGAGGGTTAAGAAAGACAACAGCGAATCTTTTTTTGTAACTGATGTATAACAAAGCCATTTAAGAGAGTAAATTCTCAAGAGAGAAATTAAAGTGAATTCCATCTCAAGTTATTTTTAGATGTGATCTTCGGTTCTCTCTTAGATAATAGTACAACGCGCGTTGCGTGGAATATGAAAATGCGCGTAAAGCTGACTGGCTTTTCTAGATGAGTAAAGATTGTTCACAGCCTCTGTATTTACGCACGCGAAAGAAAAAGCGAGCGCGAAGTGCGCAGGGATGGGTGGGGTTTGCGAGCGATGACTAAAATTTGCGGCAGATGCAGGATTCACCGGCCTTTCGAGACCCTTCAGTGATTTCTGAGGCTAAGAGTGATCTAAAAATGTTTTGACATAGGAAACCTTAGAAACAGCTCCCTTTCTGTTCATCTTATCATTATCCTTTATAAATTCTATACTATCGATTTCTATACCTGGATTTAATCGCACTTGTACAAGTAATGCATTGGTAAATGTTCCTTTATTTTCGATTCTTGGAAATAGGAATATCAACTGCTGCAAAAGGAGGTCCACGTTGCTTCGGTGAGTGGTAGCATCTTCTATAACCTTAACTAGCTAGCTAAAAATATATTTGATGTTACAACCATGTATTTCGAAATTAGCTTGTAAAAGTATCGAATATAGAATAGACGTTCCAGTCCTCTTTAAAGCAGCAATGTCTCGATATTAATTTTCTTTTCTTTTTTTCTTCTGGTGTAGAACATAACTTCAAATATTCTATTTTATGTAAACTGCTGAGGGGAGTACAAATCGCAGCTAGGTTTTCAAGACATGACAACGTATTTGAAAGTCTGCTAGACGTTTTCAAGTTAGCATCACAACATCAGCACTGCTTGTGTAACATAATAGCACCCGGCCAATTTCTGGGTTTGGTGCACTCAGTTAGTAATTAACTTTTAAGAAAGCTCGACCAATATTGTTAGGTTTCCACCAATGTTTATATGTCTTTGGGGTTTCTATTTCGAAGTCGTGCCCTTGATAAAACTGATGATGAGCGACAAACTTGAGAATTCCATTAAATGCGGATGTGCGGTTCCTTCAACTCCATCTTCACTGCTGTTTTGTGCGGGCAATCTTATATCTAATCATGATGGGGATATTTTTGTTGGCAGGGTGACTCCCTGGAAAACGTTTGTATTTATAACACAGAGGATCGGACGACAGTTACAAAGGTAAGTAAGTAACAAGCAAATAGAAAGTTCTGGATCTTCGGGTTATCGATACCGATCAAAGAGAATTCTATATCTTCAGTCAAAGAGCCCTTCTAGGAAAATGTCAGCCCTGCATGTGGGTCTTGACAATACAGGTTATCAATGACTGGCTCGGAAATCAGTACTAAGAGATCGATGACTTCACGATTGAAGTCATGTAAGGAGAAGAATTCTGGAAACTTACTGTAACTTGGTCTACATGTAAGTTTTGAAAGATAATAGTCTGGCAATGGTGGATTTTTCTTTTCCCTCTACACTGTCCTACATTACACTCTTATCAGTTCACACTAGCAACAAAACATGCGTTGAGCCTGAAAATGAGAATGTTTCAATTTTAATAAAACAAGTTTTTCAAAAACAATTTTGTAGCTCAGTGCATTGTCTAGATTCAATGAAAGCCGTCCGTTTCAAAAAACAAATGGATAACTTTTAAAAGCGGCTTTACAGATTTCCCAATGACATGGAATATTCACAGGAACTTAAACCGTAAAATGGGGCGAGAAGTTGCTGTTCAGTTTAATCTCCCTTGTTAATCTTAACGGCTTGTTCGCCGCCATGCTTAATATTCATGCTTAACATTTTCGGGGACGTTACGAAGGTAGAATAAGCTTAAGAAAAAAAAAAATGTCCAAACTCAAACCCAGACCTCTGCAAAGAGTAGTGTTTGATTTTGAGTGAAACTAAATGTCAATCGGCTCAGCTAAACCTACCTAGTTCTCAAGCATGCCTCTTAAAGTCGGAAAAAATAACAAATGTTTCAAACAAACCCAGGAGGCTAAAAATCCCAACTGGTGGTAGGGAGACCAACTGGTTATTTACAAACATGATCTCGGAGTGGAACCAGGGTCAACGAGAAGCAACTCCAGTTTAGTGGTCAGAGAGGTCGTTGAACCCGTGCCACCCATATTTCAAGTCCGGCGCACTAACCATTCGGTCATGCTACTTCTAATAATTGTCTATTATCTTATTTCAGGCAGGACTTGGAACTACCGAGGAGATGTGTCTATCATATGTCATGTACTATCCTAAAGTCAACCTAACAGCCTGTCGGTCCACTGACACCACGGGGTTCTTTTCATGGCGTGGGAGATACATTAAGTAAGTCTTCCACGCCCGACCCTCGTGTTTGCAATTGATAGAGTGGAATCAGCTAGTCTTAAGGTCCAATTGACACTGTCTTCCTTTGCCTTAATCAACTACAATTTTATAAGTTGCGGAGTATTTCACTGCCGACGGCGGAGGCTTGACTTCCACTGCACTTTTCATTCCGTCCCTTCGGGAGAGGAGAGCGAACTCATTTCCCTAACAGCCGTTCGCTGGTAATCGAGCCTACCGTAAACGCAGTCCAACGGTCTCTTAGAAACGTAAACCCAAAAAATAAATCAAGCCATTTGCCTATTGTCTATATACCTGTTAAACTGGTAATTTCACCATTAAGATAATTACAATCTTTTTCCTTGTACAGAGAAGGCGACGATATGTCGAAAGCCAGTTTTTGGGCTGACAAGGTGAACACAGGGCTGAAAGAAGCATACCGAGATTCCAAACAAGTAGACGTCTTTTGTAATGGTATCGGAAATGCGCAATTGCCGGTAATTACGTTCTTTATCTCTAAGTGCCACAATTGATGCTTTCTGTATGTAGACTGAAGAACAGACTTTGCGATTTGATTTGTTTAGCAAGACTTTCGCATACTTTGCCAAAGGAACCAAGGTAGTTTTTTTGTGGGATCGCTCTTTCCGAAAACAGAAAGAAAAAAAAAAAAATAAATCGAGTGAAAATGAACTCTGAAAATGTCACGGTTGCATAACAATACCTGGCAGAATAATGAACCATCAACGTTTTCTCGTGACGTTGGCTTTTCTGTCCTTCCTTTGAAATGATTTTTAGTGATTTTGTTTTGGTTAAAACTTTCCGTGCACCCCGAGTTTCGTTACGTCAGTTGAAGAAAAATACGCACTTTACGGTTTAGTTTTCAAGCCGTGAATAAATTAACTAAATTATGCCGGTGAGCAATTCACAGAAAGTAGAGTGTTCTTAACATTCCTTGTCGTCCTCTTGCAGGGTCTTTTTCGTAAGCGAAAACCCAAGCCAGTAATTACCGTGCCCAAGAAACCTGAGTCTACCTGCCAAACCTCTCAAGGGGTTGATGAAGAATCCATGGGCAATAGGATCGCCCCAGGCTACCTCATCTTGCTGAGCTCACTCTTTTGCCTGGCTGTTGTCACCCGCTGACCAAGTAACATAGGGAGTTTAAGTAACCACCATGGCGACGCCGAGGACAGCGTCTATTAAAAATGTATTTAAATTTTAAATACAATTACTTTTAATGATTGGAAAAATATTTATTTTGTTTCACGATAGTAAAACAATAATGCTTAGTTACAAAACGATGGTATAGCTAGATATCCTTAGGAACTAAAAACTTTTTAATACGAAATCTGATAGAAAATCGAGCAATTTCAGTTTTTAGTGGTTAAAAATCTGGTACCAGAATCACTTAAAGTATTTTACACTTCTTTTTACATTTTCTTAAAGTTAAAGATATAAATAGTTGTCTGAAATAACACCGAAAACAATCTTCCGTGGGAACGAGAGAAAATGAATTTGAAAGTTCAGAAAAATTGTGCAAACACAGGTAAAATTTCATCATAAGTTTCATTTCACCAGTACTTTCATGTATTTCATACGATTTTCAACATCTCTTTTCGACGTTTGGTCTCGCTAGAAATGATTTTTTTTAGAGAGGATATTTAAACCAGTCGTACAGAAGTTTGCAATACGATGTAAATAATCTTGGTAAAAAGTTTTGTCCACTTGTTGCTGGAACTTCTGGTGGATTCCGTCTTAATTAGGTGACTTCAAAATACACAGTATTTTGAAACGCGTCCACTCCAATGCTGGACTGAATCAAGCATTCAAAGATTTGCATTAGCCGTTTAGAAACCCATGTCACCCGGCTCATTATTCCTTACTTTAGGGTGTTTAGGAATATAATGTTTAGTTACCACCAGATTATGTACACTTTTTTGCGCCTAGGTAGAGCTTAGAGGTTTTTTTTTTTTTTGGATATGATTCTTCAGGGACTGGTCGGTATTATTTCTGCCTTTTAAATTAATTTAAATTAAATGTATTCTTCCATTCTCACTCGTCATCTCAGTCATAAAATAGGATTAAAATGTACTCTGTATAAAAAGCAATACGTTTATTCCCTTATTTCTGCTCATACTGTACATCTTGCTAGCCTTATGCCTATAGTAACCTTGTATTAAAATTAACTGTTGAATTATTAAAAGAGAGAGAAGAGAGAGAGAAATAATAATAATAAAAAAGATTATGTTAATTTTAAATCTATTGGCCAAATTCCTGACTCCACACATTTCCATCCTTTTTGGCGAGGCCATCATTGCCGGTGCAGGGATCATTTCCGGTTCCGAGATCATATCCGGTCCCGGGATCATATCCGATCCCGGGATCATGTCTGGTCCCGCGCCGGGATTATGTCCGGTCACGAGATCATGTCTGGTCCCGGGATCATTTTCGAGCCTGTACATCCTTGGTCTGGCTTCAATGATCTTACCCTTCGAGTAGAGTCAATTCGATCTTTCCTTAGTAAGTCCTATTTTGCGACTTATCTTGGAAAAATTTCTACTCGCTGGATATGATGACCTTTGGGGGTCCTTTGCCTATAGTTGTCAGTACTTAGTCATGATTACCATGGTAATAAATAAACAAACAAACAGGCGAAATCTGAGTAGCTTACATAAATCGATGGTCCGATCCGAAGATTGCCAAGACATCTTGCGCAAAAACAGTCTGATTTCTTTTTCTCAAAAGATCTTCGCAATGACTTTTGACGTAATGCGTTTCTGAAGATTTTTGATAACCACATTTGACAGAGCAATTTTAAGGTAACCATTAGGAATATTGATAAAGCCTGACACAGTTTTGTAGAATAACCCCTTATGATTGATACAATGCAGTAGTTTTGTTTCTACAGCCGAATTCGATGCTCGAGAAATTCGCTGGGAGCAACGTTGGTCGTGTTGGGTTTCTAGGCCGCTGTTTTCTCCCAAATAGATAAATTGCAGCGAAAATTTTAATCAGATAGGTTATGCTAGAACCTTTACATTCAGGTATATAGTTTTTGGTTAGCTTTAAAGTGCCATTAACCCCATATTTTTTTTTCTTCGCGAATGAAAATTTCCTTTTTCGCCTAATAACCACTGCGAAAAAATTATAGTTGAAGCTATTTTCCTTAATTTTACATGAATTTTTAAAGTCTGCAAAATTGCCCTTTTCCATGTTCACGACCGAGGAATAGTGGTGAATGGAACGAGTTAGCTCCTGACGTCATTTCGGGAATAACAATATTTTGTTTCCGAGAAGAATGTATGCGAAGATGCGATAGTGTGTGTCAAAAGCGTTCAGAATGTAATATGTGTTTTTGGAGGCTGTAGCAATACAGGATGCGTAGGAGAGAGTACTCCTTCTCTTTCAATACTTCTGTCTCGATGAAATTCGACCAGAAACGAGAAAAAGACCAACGAAGTGGGAAGTGAGGAGCCATCTAAGATTTCTTCGATCTTGGGTTCGCCGCTGCTGTAAAACCTAGAGAATTTCATGGCCTGTATATTCTTGCCTATCTCTAGTGGAAAGCTTGACATTGTCAGGGAACTGCATAAGATACACATTTGGGATAAGCTAGAAGCCATCTGACTATTCCGAGCGCAAACGTTCCTCTGAGAGGGGAGGAAATTGCACGGTAAATTGAACGCATCTCGATTTTTGTACTCGAAACTTTTCTAAACGAATAGTAAACGAAACCTATATCCTACAACAAGGCGATTAACATTGATGAGGCTTCGAACTGGTGAACTAGCTATGTATTTGTAGATTTTAATAAAAACAGACGCACGCCAGAGGTCGTAATCCGGACGTGTTTCTTAATAATGGCCGTTCCGAATAGAGAATTGTTTTGTTCTTTGAGCTTCGTCTTTGAGGAACGAAATATATCTGAACTACAAACGTACAATGGCTCAAGCATTCACAAATATATGAAGAAAGTGAAGCAAACGATTAAGATTCGACTTTATAGCTGCCGACGGAGATTGTGCTGAGAAAAGAATGCGCTTGTCAGTCAACCGAAACGCAAACTGATAAGTCAAGAACTCCGAGGTTATTAGCGAACGTAAAATGGACATTTCATTCAAAATAATAGCGAAGTAGAAATGTATTCATTTAAGTGATACTACACTGAACCTCTTTTCAAGATCTTGACGAAGGATTTTCCATTATTTACTAGTACGCAGAAATAGGCAAATTTCTGTAGCGGCCGGCTAAATAGCTATATGCGGACCCAAGGGGTATGATTTTGAGTCTAAAAAAGGGTATAGTTATTGAACAATTTCGTCTGAAATAGGGCATGTTATTACTATGGCTTGGCATCGGGTATTTTGTTTACAAGGGAGTATTTTTCCGCATCATAAATTGGCACATTTGTAGCCCTTCTCAAAGTTTACGTAAATGGGAGGCATTTCTGGTTTGCTGATTTCATATAATAGAATCGTGTACTAATTTGAAAGGTTTGAAATGGGGTATCGACTTTTAGCTCAAGTCTAGATTAAGGTATGGAAAATCACTGATTTTGGTCTAAAGTAGGGTACGTACAGATTCCAAGGTCCTTGCCGCACAGCCCAACCAAAAGCATTCGGGAGCCCCAACCCCTTGTAGTTATGTAGCTGAACGTGCGTCATACTATAATGATCATGATAATTAAAATGTAATATAACGATATGATAATTTCCTCTTTGTGCAGTGTCATGATAGATTCCGCTCATAACAGGCAAGCTATAATTTCGCTACAATTTGTTGACAGAACACTATGATTGTTCCTCTGTGCCTCTTCCTGCTGCATTCCGCTGCGCTGCAAGCCTCAGCTGACCTCGCTATAGAGCATTCCTTTTTCGCTGCTCTGGATGAAGATCAAAATGTGANTCTTATATCTAATCATGATGGGGATATTTTTGTTGGCAGGGTGACTCCCTGGAAAACGTTTGTATTTATAACACAGAGGATCGGACGACAGTTACAAAGGTAAGTAAGTAACAAGCAAATAGAAAGTTCTGGATCTTCGGGTTATCGATACCGATCAAAGAGAATTCTATATCTTCAGTCAAAGAGCCCTTCTAGGAAAATGTCAGCCCTGCATGTGGGTCTTGACAATACAGGTTATCAATGACTGGCTCGGAAATCAGTACTAAGAGATCGATGACTTCACGATTGAAGTCATGTAAGGAGAAGAATTCTGGAAACTTACTGTAACTTGGTCTACATGTAAGTTTTGAAAGATAATAGTCTGGCAATGGTGGATTTTTCTTTTCCCTCTACACTGTCCTACATTACACTCTTATCAGTTCACACTAGCAACAAAACATGCGTTGAGCCTGAAAATGAGAATGTTTCAATTTTAATAAAACAAGTTTTTCAAAAACAATTTTGTAGCTCAGTGCATTGTCTAGATTCAATGAAAGCCGTCCGTTTCAAAAAACAAATGGATAACTTTTAAAAGCGGCTTTACAGATTTCCCAATGACATGGAATATTCACAGGAACTTAAACCGTAAAATGGGGCGAGAAGTTGCTGTTCAGTTTAATCTCCCTTGTTAATCTTAACGGCTTGTTCGCCGCCATGCTTAATATTCATGCTTAACATTTTCGGGGACGTTACGAAGGTAGAATAAGCTTAAGAAAAAAAAAAATGTCCAAACTCAAACCCAGACCTCTGCAAAGAGTAGTGTTTGATTTTGAGTGAAACTAAATGTCAATCGGCTCAGCTAAACCTACCTAGTTCTCAAGCATGCCTCTTAAAGTCGGAAAAAATAACAAATGTTTCAAACAAACCCAGGAGGCTAAAAATCCCAACTGGTGGTAGGGAGACCAACTGGTTATTTACAAACATGATCTCGGAGTGGAACCAGGGTCAACGAGAAGCAACTCCAGTTTAGTGGTCAGAGAGGTCGTTGAACCCGTGCCACCCATATTTCAAGTCCGGCGCACTAACCATTCGGTCATGCTACTTCTAATAATTGTCTATTATCTTATTTCAGGCAGGACTTGGAACTACCGAGGAGATGTGTCTATCATATGTCATGTACTATCCTAAAGTCAACCTAACAGCCTGTCGGTCCACTGACACCACGGGGTTCTTTTCATGGCGTGGGAGATACATTAAGTAAGTCTTCCACGCCCGACCCTCGTGTTTGCAATTGATAGAGTGGAATCAGCTAGTCTTAAGGTCCAATTGACACTGTCTTCCTTTGCCTTAATCAACTACAATTTTATAAGTTGCGGAGTATTTCACTGCCGACGGCGGAGGCTTGACTTCCACTGCACTTTTCATTCCGTCCCTTCGGGAGAGGAGAGCGAACTCATTTCCCTAACAGCCGTTCGCTGGTAATCGAGCCTACCGTAAACGCAGTCCAACGGTCTCTTAGAAACGTAAACCCAAAAAATAAATCAAGCCATTTGCCTATTGTCTATATACCTGTTAAACTGGTAATTTCACCATTAAGATAATTACAATCTTTTTCCTTGTACAGAGAAGGCGACGATATGTCGAAAGCCAGTTTTTGGGCTGACAAGGTGAACACAGGGCTGAAAGAAGCATACCGAGATTCCAAACAAGTAGACGTCTTTTGTAATGGTATCGGAAATGCGCAATTGCCGGTAATTACGTTCTTTATCTCTAAGTGCCACAATTGATGCTTTCTGTATGTAGACTGAAGAACAGACTTTGCGATTTGATTTGTTTAGCAAGACTTTCGCATACTTTGCCAAAGGAACCAAGGTAGTTTTTTTGTGGGATCGCTCTTTCCGAAAACAGAAAGAAAAAAAAAAAAATAAATCGAGTGAAAATGAACTCTGAAAATGTCACGGTTGCATAACAATACCTGGCAGAATAATGAACCATCAACGTTTTCTCGTGACGTTGGCTTTTCTGTCCTTCCTTTGAAATGATTTTTAGTGATTTTGTTTTGGTTAAAACTTTCCGTGCACCCCGAGTTTCGTTACGTCAGTTGAAGAAAAATACGCACTTTACGGTTTAGTTTTCAAGCCGTGAATAAATTAACTAAATTATGCCGGTGAGCAATTCACAGAAAGTAGAGTGTTCTTAACATTCCTTGTCGTCCTCTTGCAGGGTCTTTTTCGTAAGCGAAAACCCAAGCCAGTAATTACCGTGCCCAAGAAACCTGAGTCTACCTGCCAAACCTCTCAAGGGGTTGATGAAGAATCCATGGGCAATAGGATCGCCCCAGGCTACCTCATCTTGCTGAGCTCACTCTTTTGCCTGGCTGTTGTCACCCGCTGACCAAGTAACATAGGGAGTTTAAGTAACCACCATGGCGACGCCGAGGACAGCGTCTATTAAAAATGTATTTAAATTTTAAATACAATTACTTTTAATGATTGGAAAAATATTTATTTTGTTTCACGATAGTAAAACAATAATGCTTAGTTACAAAACGATGGTATAGCTAGATATCCTTAGGAACTAAAAACTTTTTAATACGAAATCTGATAGAAAATCGAGCAATTTCAGTTTTTAGTGGTTAAAAATCTGGTACCAGAATCACTTAAAGTATTTTACACTTCTTTTTACATTTTCTTAAAGTTAAAGATATAAATAGTTGTCTGAAATAACACCGAAAACAATCTTCCGTGGGAACGAGAGAAAATGAATTTGAAAGTTCAGAAAAATTGTGCAAACACAGGTAAAATTTCATCATAAGTTTCATTTCACCAGTACTTTCATGTATTTCATACGATTTTCAACATCTCTTTTCGACGTTTGGTCTCGCTAGAAATGATTTTTTTTAGAGAGGATATTTAAACCAGTCGTACAGAAGTTTGCAATACGATGTAAATAATCTTGGTAAAAAGTTTTGTCCACTTGTTGCTGGAACTTCTGGTGGATTCCGTCTTAATTAGGTGACTTCAAAATACACAGTATTTTGAAACGCGTCCACTCCAATGCTGGACTGAATCAAGCATTCAAAGATTTGCATTAGCCGTTTAGAAACCCATGTCACCCGGCTCATTATTCCTTACTTTAGGGTGTTTAGGAATATAATGTTTAGTTACCACCAGATTATGTACACTTTTTTGCGCCTAGGTAGAGCTTAGAGGTTTTTTTTTTTTTTGGATATGATTCTTCAGGGACTGGTCGGTATTATTTCTGCCTTTTAAATTAATTTAAATTAAATGTATTCTTCCATTCTCACTCGTCATCTCAGTCATAAAATAGGATTAAAATGTACTCTGTATAAAAAGCAATACGTTTATTCCCTTATTTCTGCTCATACTGTACATCTTGCTAGCCTTATGCCTATAGTAACCTTGTATTAAAATTAACTGTTGAATTATTAAAAGAGAGAGAAGAGAGAGAGAAATAATAATAATAAAAAAGATTATGTTAATTTTAAATCTATTGGCCAAATTCCTGACTCCACACATTTCCATCCTTTTTGGCGAGGCCATCATTGCCGGTGCAGGGATCATTTCCGGTTCCGAGATCATATCCGGTCCCGGGATCATATCCGATCCCGGGATCATGTCTGGTCCCGCGCCGGGATTATGTCCGGTCACGAGATCATGTCTGGTCCCGGGATCATTTTCGAGCCTGTACATCCTTGGTCTGGCTTCAATGATCTTACCCTTCGAGTAGAGTCAATTCGATCTTTCCTTAGTAAGTCCTATTTTGCGACTTATCTTGGAAAAATTTCTACTCGCTGGATATGATGACCTTTGGGGGTCCTTTGCCTATAGTTGTCAGTACTTAGTCATGATTACCATGGTAATAAATAAACAAACAAACAGGCGAAATCTGAGTAGCTTACATAAATCGATGGTCCGATCCGAAGATTGCCAAGACATCTTGCGCAAAAACAGTCTGATTTCTTTTTCTCAAAAGATCTTCGCAATGACTTTTGACGTAATGCGTTTCTGAAGATTTTTGATAACCACATTTGACAGAGCAATTTTAAGGTAACCATTAGGAATATTGATAAAGCCTGACACAGTTTTGTAGAATAACCCCTTATGATTGATACAATGCATTAGTTTTGTTTCTACAGCCGAATTCGATGCTCGAGAAATTCGCTGGGAGCAACGTTGGTCGTGTTGGGTTTCTAGGCCGCTGTTTTCTCCCAAATAGATAAATTGCAGCGAAAATTTTAATCAGATAGGTTATGCTAGAACCTTTACATTCAGGTATATAGTTTTTGGTTAGCTTTAAAGTGCCATTAACCCCATATTTTTTTTTCTTCGCGAATGAAAATTTCCTTTTTCGCCTAATAACCACTGCGAAAAAATTATAGTTGAAGCTATTTTCCTTAATTTTACATGAATTTTTAAAGTCTGCAAAATTGCCCTTTTCCATGTTCACGACCGAGGAATAGTGGTGAATGGAACGAGTTAGCTCCTGACGTCATTTCGGGAATAACAATATTTTGTTTCCGAGAAGAATGTATGCGAAGATGCGATAGTGTGTGTCAAAAGCGTTCAGAATGTAATATGTGTTTTTGGAGGCTGTAGCAATACAGGATGCGTAGGAGAGAGTACTCCTTCTCTTTCAATACTTCTGTCTCAATGAAATTCGACCAGAAACGAGAAAAAGACCAACGAAGTGGGAAGTGAGGAGCCATCTAAGATTTCTTCGATCTTGGGTTCGCCGCTGCTGTAAAACCTAGAGAATTTCATGGCCTGTATATTCTTGCCTATCTCTAGTGGAAAGCTTGACATTGTCAGGGAACTGCATAAGATACACATTTGGGATAAGCTAGAAGCCATCTGACTATTCCGAGCGCAAACGTTCCTCTGAGAGGGGAGGAAATTGCACGGTAAATTGAACGCATCTCGATTTTTGTACTCGAAACTTTTCTAAACGAATAGTAAACGAAACCTATATCCTACAACAAGGCGATTAACATTGATGAGGCTTCGAACTGGTGAACTAGCTATGTATTTGTAGATTTTAATAAAAACAGACGCACGCCAGAGGTCGTAATCCGGACGTGTTTCTTAATAATGGCCGTTCCGAATAGAGAATTGTTTTGTTCTTTGAGCTTCGTCTTTGAGGAACGAAATATATCTGAACTACAAACGTACAATGGCTCAAGCATTCACAAATATATGAAGAAAGTGAAGCAAACGATTAAGATTCGACTTTATAGCTGCCGACGGAGATTGTGCTGAGAAAAGAATGCGCTTGTCAGTCAACCGAAACGCAAACTGATAAGTCAAGAACTCCGAGGTTATTAGCGAACGTAAAATGGACATTTCATTCAAAATAATAGCGAAGTAGAAATGTATTCATTTAAGTGATACTACACTGAACCTCTTTTCAAGATCTTGACGAAGGATTTTCCATTATTTACTAGTACGCAGAAATAGGCAAATTTCTGTAGCGGCCGGCTAAATAGCTATATGCGGACCCAAGGGGTATGATTTTGAGTCTAAAAAAGGGTATAGTTATTGAACAATTTCGTCTGAAATAGGGCATGTTATTACTATGGCTTGGCATCGGGTATTTTGTTTACAAGGGAGTATTTTTCCGCATCATAAATTGGCACATTTGTAGCCCTTCTCAAAGTTTACGTAAATGGGAGGCATTTCTGGTTTGCTGATTTCATATAATAGAATCGTGTACTAATTTGAAAGGTTTGAAATGGGGTATCGACTTTTAGCTCAAGTCTAGATTAAGGTATGGAAAATCACTGATTTTGGTCTAAAGTAGGGTACGTACAGATTCCAAGGTCCTTGCCGCACAGCCCAACCAAAAGCATTCGGGAGCCCCAACCCCTTGTAGTTATGTAGCTGAACGTGCGTCATACTATAATTATCATGATAATTAAAATGTAATATAACGATATGATAATTTCCTCTTTGTGCAGTGTCATGATAGATTCCGCTCATAACAGGCAAGCTATAATTTCGCTACAATTTGTTGACAAAACACTATGATTGTTCCTCTGTGCCTCTTCCTGCTGCATTCCGCTGCGCTGCAAGCCTCAGCTGACCTCG